AGGGCTGGGCTGGGCGTGCAGCGCCCGGCTGGGAAAAGCCGCGGTTGAGACGGAGCTGCACCGTGCGGGACACGGCCGGGAAGCTGCTCGGAGGGGCCAGGCACGAGGCCGGGAGAGCGAGCGCGGAGCCGGCTCCTTCCCGGCAGTCCGGCCCTGCACGAGCCTCGTTTCTTCAGCGCTATTTTTAACGCATCCATTTACCTTGGAACAGAAACGCCAAGCAACTTCCTTCATCTCTGAGGACGCATCTCGCCTGCAGCTGCTGGGAGAGACTCGGTACCTGGCACGGGCTCCCAGCAGGCAGGACAGCTGCCCTCAACCGTTCCCCCAAGGAGAAGCCTTGCACTTCACCCAGAAATCCTTCTCACAAACAACCTCCCCTTACAAGCAAAGTTGTTCTTTGCAAGTTTTTGAAGCTATTCTTAAAGGCTGCTAAGACTTATGTTTTCAGCTGCACGAGCACAACGGCTTCTGATTTATTTATTTTTTAATAACACTCTTGTAACACAGATAGGCTCGTTCAATTTGGAAACGCTCACAGGAGCGGCAGCTCTGCAAATAAAATCCCTGGGCCAAGACAGCAGGTCACACCTGAGCAGCCTGGAAAGCTTTGCCAGCGAAAAGAACAGAACCACAAGAGTGAAAACACTGCAACAGGGAAGGAAGAGAGCAGACACTCAACGCCGTATGCGCAGGTGTCACCGGTGAGCGCAGCGCGGACACCACGTGCCCACCCGCAGCGACAGCGTCCCCAAAGGCAGCGTCACCCCTTCCAGCCCCTGCACCGCAGGGAACACTCCAAGCTCCATAAATCCCAACACTGCCAGAAGGAGAAAACTGGATTGAGGATGGGAGAGGAAATAGGCTCAAACATCTACTTACCAGCACAGGGATGAGCAGGTCGGCAAAATACACGAAAGCTGCTCCCAGGGCGAAGCCAACAGCCACGGGGAAGAAGGCGAAGGCTCCGAAGCTTCCAGACTCCTCGGCCATTTCAATAGCCGGGGCCAGGAGGGACCAGTAAGAGGCTGCCAACATGACCTAGGAGACAGACAACGTGCGGGTGAGAAGGTGGCAATGGTTTTCCTTGAGGGTCCCGGTGAGCTGGGATGAGAGCTGCTCGCTCGGCAGCGCTGGGTCCTTGCCCGGGTATTAGTCAGGGGGAAACTGAGGCACGGAGCAGCGGGTCAGGGGTGGAAGCAGGAGCCAAGGCCGCCTTTGCCGACGGGTGAAGCAGGAGGGCAGAGCCCGGGGTGCCCAGTGCACCACATTCCCACTCCGGCTGCAGGGAATGGGCCCCTCTCCGCTCGCCGGATCCGCGGGATGTTCCGGGCGCTGCAGCTCAGCGGTGCCTGCACAGCCCGGCCCACACGGGCTTCGGCTGCCGAGATCCCTGCGCTTGCTGCTGCACTTGGCAGCAGCACGATCATTAAACCTTAATAGTGACATTAAAACGGGCTTCCTGATGGAACAAATCACTTAAGGATGGGGAAGCGAGATTTTTCCATCACTTTTCACCAAACTAGACTTTTGAGCCAAGGGGAAGTAAAAAAAAAAAAATAGCAAAATGAAAAATGAATCACAGGAG